TAACAGCAGATGAGGACCTTTAGACTTGACGATCTTTCTGAGAGGCCATGACATGCCATTCAAGCCTGGCAGTTTGACTTGGATGGAAATGAGGGCTCGTCATAGCCTCACAATTCCATCGATAGCGAAGAAGAGCATGGATTCGCCGCGCCACAGTCCACCATCGTTCTAGATATGACTCGAAACTCTAGGTACACCACCATGCTGCACCTTCGCCCTGTTGGGTGAAGGCGCCCAAGACCGTGTCGATCTCCAACGCGGGCCGTCCGGGTTGGCGACCCCCACCGGTCGCTGGTCGGTCAGACGTGCTCCGGTGAGGTGACGGCGCAGACGCGCAGACGTGCTCGGACGAGGGCCAAAGAGAGGTAGCCAAGGGTAGCCAATCAATATTTGTCACTGCAGGATCTGCAGGTATAGTGAGCTCATTTTCTGTTTTCAACATGTAGGCTTTCAGAATTTATAGTTTATAGAGTCAAGTTAATCAAGTGTTATTTGCGCAGACACAACATGTTCCTCAATCAAGGTCTCCCGGTTTCCCAAAAAGTAACATAAACCATCACTCATGATCACCAATTATTCACTACACTTTTATGCCACCGTGTATTGGGACGCACGAGGTTTTCAGTTTCCCACCAAAGTCATTGCTTGCGACTGACCTGGTCGATGTGGACGATGTGGATTTGAGGTGTGGCGCTCTCTCTCTCTCTCTCACAAGACCAACATCGACATTCATGGCTGTCCCGACATCGACTTGGAGCCAAAAAGACGAGGGTTGTCTTGATTTCTGGCCACACACTGTTCAGCTTGCATGGACATCTTTTTTTGTCACGTCAGGCATTTAACTCTGCTTGTTTGCCTGGAGATGCACGACTTGCAGCTGCTGCAGCATTTGCTGGCAAGTGCATAGAATTGGGGTGTGCCACAAGCATGTTTGCATAAGCATTGTCAGGAAGAGTGAAGATGACGCCTTAACAGACTACAGATTTAACATGATTTAACACTATTTTCAGTGGGGGAATTGCAGCCCCTCCTCACATAAGCAGAGTAGACCGGACTACTGTTTAACCCCTCGTACAAAGCTTCAATGGTGTTGGAGGTAGGCAACATGCGTCCAACAGATTGCATGTGTTGGCTTTAATGTGAACATCCAGAAGCTTTTTCTGGCGCGCCATGCCTCATGCCATGGCTGGCCTTCGGACTTGCTATGGCTGCAGCTTTGGTAGTGGCAGATCCCAAGCTTGCAGTGAACAAATGGAGTGGTTGTGCTGAGGCAGGGACCTGCTGGTTACGCCAGGTCCCTTGTTGTTTGGAGACGCCTGACCAGTGAACGAGCAGGATAGACCAGTGAAGACTGAGCTGAGCACACCACGACTCGGTCACATGTTTTTTCTTCCAAAACATATTGGTCCCAAGAGCTGCACGTGACCGAGCTCAGCAGGTCACACCTGGCAGCCCTTTTCCGCTGTACTTCGAGCCGTGTGCTACAGCAGAGTGGGAGGTGCTGCTGGACGACAACGACAGTAAGTCGCAGCTCACAGCGAAGCTGACGCTGCCCGAGGAGAGCAGTTTTTTTCTTTCCTTTACAGTTGAAATGGGAGAGTTCTTTTGGATGTTGATAGATTTTATGGATTCATTGAGTATCAGTATATGAGTATATATATTGTATAATATACATATATACATGTATAACTATATATATAGACTTGGAAAAAAGATAGAGACGATCATAGTCATAACAAAGCATGTTATATGGAATCCATCATCTAATGTGTATAAATCTATCTATCTATCTAACTAAAGAGACATACAATGCAACACTGGTTTCTGATCTCCAAATCCTTGACACACTTCACGGCAGTCTTGCTTGTCCCACCTCGCTGCAAGATCGGAGAGGCTAAGAACCTGTTGGGCTGCACCGAGCACAAGTTGAACTTCGATGGCAGCATCGTACTACTCCAGCGAGGGGGGTGCTACTTTTCCTGGAAGGCGGTGTCCGTGTCCACGTGTTCGACGATCGACGCACAGGTCTCTTCGGTCCGGGGAACCACGGTGCGGGGACTCTTTGCTTCAGACCCGTGAAAATTCACTCGATGGAAAGTTAGGGTTGGTTCATGATGGGTTTCATCCAGTCTTGGACTTGGGGCTGTCTCAATCTGTCTTTTTTTGATGTTTGTGTGACCTGTGAGGTGCTACTGGCTGAAGCAGCAGGAGCCGGAGCAGTCCTGATTTTCGACACGGCTCCTGTCCAAGTGACAGCCATACTTGCAGTTCCAGGGCCTTTTCCAAATCCCAGGAGGGCATTCACAACTTGTTAAATCTTCAAATTTGAGGCTCCGTTGCTGTCACGTGTCCATTTCTTCTTGACCACACAACCCTGACATTGGAGGATTCCTGGCTATTTGATTTCTCGTTCTCAAGGTGAAGAACTACTGGCAAGATTGGATGCTTTCAAGACAGTTTCGGACCAGTTTCAAGTCTAGTTTTGCTGGAATTTGCAAACTTACATTGACAGTGGGCAGTGGGCACAGTGTTTTTTGCTCAAAGGCTTACCCTTGAGTACAAGCCACAGAGCAATTTAGTTTCGAGTTGCATACACGAATCTTAAATCAATCACGGGACAAGCTGATTTGCCTTTTCCTTTTCTGCAATGAGCTTAGGATGGTGGTGAGGAGGTCCAAATCCTCTGCAGCTGGAGCCCTGTAGATGTGTGGTTCAATCTTCCAGAGTCCTCTCGCGAATCCAACGACAGCATCATCTTGCAGAACTATGGGGACGAAGACATGCACTGGGTGGTCGATATCATCGACACCAATGCGAGCTTCGAAACGGATCCGTTCTACACGGCACGCTTCAACAAGGAGCAGGCAGTCTTCAACACATCCGAGATGAAGGACCTCGCAGTCTTTAATACATCCGTCCAGAACTCAGCCTTCTCAAGGGTTCGAGGAAGGCGTCTGTAACTCATTGATTAGACCAGAGACACGAATCATGTGCTGCACGAAAGCAAGACAATGCAACTGTCACCATGTCAGACCCAAAGCCGCCGACAGAGCAGAAACTCACTTCCCATTCTCAGCCCTCAAGGCAGAGGAATTGGAGCTGGCAGAGCTGGATGATGACTTCCATCTTCTTAAGATGCCATTTCGATTTCCACATTACCTCGATTTTAAAGAGGACGTCTTTGTGTCTTCGAATGGTCTCTTGGCTGGAAAACCATTGTTGGATCGGAGTGAGGATCGAAGAGCTGGGCTCTTTTTGGATCTCGCGCTGTTTGAAAAGACTTGATCGAAGTGTGTGGAAAGTCCCCCGTAGGGCCAGCTTCTTGTGGTGTTTGCATTGTTGCAGCTTCTTTGTAATCTCTTCTCTATGACAAGCAGAAAAAACTAAGCTCTGTGACCATCTTTGCGAAAGCTTCTGTCAGCCTGAGGTGTTTTGGTGTTTGATCGTGTCTTCTCCAACATAGTCGGTTCAATTGCTGACTTCGTTGCACCAGCTGCTCTGATCGCACCCCTATGGGCAGATTTGTTTGGTGGCTCTGTCTCTGGACGAGGCACTGCAGTGTTGCACGGGCAAATTTGCAACTGTGCCACGTCCCGTGTTGTTGGTCATTGGTGTTGTCGCCTGGCGCGATGAGCACACCAAACACTTCTGCAGCATGTTTTTGGCATGCCGGCGATGAACCTCTGCAAACAAAACTTAATTTACTATATATATATACAGTTGTTTTGCACTAGGAACCAAACAACGATGTAAATATCGATGTTTTTGACCCTCAGCAAGCAACACATGTGGTATTTACATGTATTTACGATGTTGTACCCCCCCCGAAATCGAGTCTGAGTCGGTCCCTGCGCCAAATCACTGTCAAATCAGGGGCGCGGTGTCCAAAAGCTGCTTCGGTACCACGCCGACGCCTCCGTTGTAGGGCCTTGTTTCTTCGGTCCGTGCGGGCCAAACCTGACAACAGTGGAGCCCCAAAGGTGCCAAACGTCGCTTTCTGACAATTGTTAAAGTATGATGTATATATATATATAACTATAGAGTCCATAGAGAACTATTATCAGTATCATCAGTCTATAGAAATATGGAGTCTATCTATCTATTGGAGTCGATCTACGTATAGTATACATATCTGCTCATGTATCACACACTCATATCATCCCCACACTAGTATAGCCCCTTGCTTGGCCCTTTGCTCATATCAACCACTACACATCGCCGGCTCTGACAGAGATGGACACTTGCCCAGATACACATAAGAGACATGGTATGAGATGATACGAATATCATAAACATGTGAGATGACATGAGTCTATGACACTGTCCTATGAGTATGAGCCTTTTGTGAGATTCGCTTTTGGGCCGTCTTGCGGTTCTCCCACTGGAACGTGCAGGTGACGTGCAGCGCTTGGTTCTACGCTTCCAGGGCTTTTGGTTGAAGCCAACGGCGACAACGAAGCCATCAGGTCCATTCACCTTTGAAGTTGGCTTGTTGAACGACGGTGAGATCCACGTCCGTTGGGACACTTGGTCAGCTTTGGGAGAACGACGGCTTTTTTTTCTGACTGGTGCCCCCCCTGAGATGTAAACACCAGTAGCTAGACACCACTGCCAGTCCAAGTTTCCAGTTGCAGACTTTCTGACTGCATCCACTACACAAATGGATACATGAACACTTGTTTGAACACTGCAGTTGAATCCAAACATATCCAAATTCGAAACACACGGTACCATCGCTGCGTACGATGTTCGCCGTCCAGGAAGCGTTCCCCAGCACTGAAGGTTGGCAAGGGCTGGTGCAAGTGGGCTTGGAGCCTGGCAGCGGAGCCAAAGCGCTGAAGCTCAGTGCTCTCATTCCTTGGTTTCAAGGTCCGCCTCTCAGTGTATCTCTCGTGCCACGCTTGAAACTTTCAACTTCGCCCAGTCGATTGTCTCCGAAGCAGTTCCTGACCATCAACATTGACATCACCAGCGCTCTTCCCTTTGATTGGCTCTTCTTCTACGCACAAAAACGTCACCTGGGATCTTGGCATCCACGGCGCAACGTGCGACTGCTGCCCCGAAGCTTTCGCTATGTTTGGGTGCTCAGTGCGTGGGACGGTGGTCTGCACAGCGGCACCTGTGCCGAGTTCGACGGAGTCCTGCGACGGAGCAGGACTCGTAGATGTGTTGGAAGCGATGGAGAGGACTACAACGAGAGCTACTGTGTTGGCAGCTGCCTGGACATCTCTGAAGACTTCGATTACCCAATCAAGCACATCTGGAAAGACGGCTACAACAATCGCTGCGAGGACTACCGAGCTTTGTCTTTCTGCAACGCCACTGGCTATGGGCCGAAATGGCAGAGTTGGTGGGGGAGATTCGAGGATTGGGTCTCCAGTGGCCCTGGTGCTGGTGAGGCATGTTGTGTTTGTGGTGGAGGTGTCCTCTCCATATCTCCACATGTATCTGAGGAGTGTCCCAGTGTGAAGTGTCCAATCAACTCGCTGGGCCTGAATGTGCTCCGCGGCTGCAGCTGCCGCGCAGGATTCCAGGGACGGGTGACACCCTTAGCGCAAGATCCATACTACGCAGGACACTGTTCTCCAGTGGCTTGCCCGAAACATTCATCTGGAGATCATGTAGCAGATGGTTGTGTTTGTGATGAGGGCTACATTGGTAGCATCATCCCATCCAGCGAAGAACCTTTCTTTACAGGTAGTTGTCAGGCAAAGGCAGCAACAACGTTTACATGGACCACAACCACAAGTGGCAGTACGACAAGCACTACTCAACCAAGCACATCAAGGAGTGCCGGAACCTCAACCACATCTATGCACTCATCTCATACTTCCACCAATGGGGCTTTGACCTCTTGGAGACACCCCCGGGTCACTTCAACTAGCTCAAGTTCCACCAGCCCAGAAAGAACTATGGCTGGAACACCGCTGGAAGGACGAAACGTCCAGTTCTCCAGCACCAGCACCAGCAGCAGCAGCAGCAGCAGCAGCAGCAGCAGCAGCAGCAGCACCAAACTTCGAACATCAACTTCACTCCCATCTACATCGACCGAAGTGTCCATCACTTTTACGCAAGGGTCCAGCACCAGCCAGCACCACTCAGACGCAACTGAGACTACATCCAGCACCCCTCAGATGCAGAGCATCACAAAGACATCGACTTCCTTTACATTTACATCAACCTTTCGACCTCCGACAAGTTCAACAACTTCCTCTGAACTCTCAACATCACCTCTGAACTTCAGGCAGAACATCTCAACTTCATTTGACATGGTGTCATGGAATCCAAGGACCAGAAGCACAAGCTTCGCACTAGCTTCGCACTCAACATCGAGGAAAGGAGCACCGTCACACCCGTCACACCCGACCACGAGCAGGGCGGCCACGAGCACCTTCGAGCACAGTCGCGCTTTCACGACATCTCCCAGCGGAGATTTTGAACAACAGGAGCGCGAAGGAGCTGTAGCGGCCAATGTGGAGCAATCTGCGCAGGTGGAAAGGCCCAAAGAAGTAGGTCTGGACACATCCACCAGTCGCAAGGTATCAGCCTCAGAGTAGATTGCAAAGAAAAGCATGAAAAAGCATATATTATGAATTGGCCTTGTCCACCAGAGCTTGCTGAAGTGACATAAGCAAGTGATAGCGAGTGTGAGAACTGATGCAGGGTAGACAAAACAGATGATAAAAGGTGTCCAAACAATGATGCTGGATGTTGCTGGATGTTGTGAGTTCTCTTTGCTTTCTATCATGCGGTCATAGCGCTGAGCAACCTGAACAAAAAATCATCGAACACAACTACAACATACTACTACGTCCTGAAAGATTAACATGGAACCTGAAAACCACGTCGGGTTGTAGAGGAACATCGTCTTCCAACATTTTCCAAACATCCATTTTCAGGTTAATCTTCCCGGATGGAACCCATTTGGCAAGGTCGCGGCCATGCTGATGCAAGGCTTCAGACCGGGAGGGAGGTCGTCACCAGACCGCGAGCGACGGGGCGACGGGTTGATGCTTCACCCATGCCGGCTGTGAAGTCAACCTCCCTCACCAAACCATGGCAGGTTGACACCTTTCATATGGAATCTGTTCATTTTCGGTCCAAGGTCAACCCAGGATTTGACCCACACCCATATGGCTTAAACAAATAGTTACAGACAGCTCAGTCGGAATCCTTTTTTTCGGTCCACTTGGAACTACACTATATATATACCTGTTCTCTGTTCAGTGCTCAACAGTTGCCCGGCAGAATCTATGGTGGAAGTTGCAACAGTTGCTTCAAGTGGGATTCTTCGGACCATCTTCAATGGAAGATCATGGAAGATCCTCAACGGATGTCAACGTCCCATTTCGTCAGGTTCAGAGAGCTCTGGGCCCTCAGCATCAGCACTGATTGTCATTCTGCTGATTTTCATGCCTTGCTTAGCCCGAGCCTAAGATGTGATGGGCGACAGAGAGAAATGTGGCGTTTTGAGAAGCCGAGTTTGATTGACAAATGCTCGAATTCTGCAATCTGCAAGCAGAGTGGGCAGCTTGTATCATTGTATCAGCTGGTCAGATAATATTATCCTGGATCAAAGTTGCTTCAGGCTTGCTTTTGTGGTGCAGGACGATTCCTGGCAACAAAGGCGCAGCTCATCAGATTTACTGTACCATTTTCCTCCAGTTTTCACTTTTCACCATATCTCGGGATCAAGCATTGTGATGTAGATATGAATAGAAAGAACTATATAAAATTATATATAAATATGTACATACAAAGATCGATGAAGCAAGCATAACTATAGAAGCTTCGTGTCTTAGAGTCGCCAGGTCACACGAGTCACACCGCTTCTTCCGGGAACGGAAGCAGCGAGGGACACCGCGGTCCGTGGACCCGTCCGTCCCGGTCCTGTCAGCCCTTTTGGGAGCCCTGCCGGTCCACCGGTGGTGGTGTGTGCCCCTGTGCGGCATGCAGAGCATGCTGTGAAAGAGGCATGACACATGCCATGCTGTAAAAGAGGAAAACAAAAGAACCATGGGTCATATTTAAACAGCACTGTTCTGGCTTACTTGATTCGATTCGTACAGCACAGATTTAGGTATGCCGTAGATTCATATGCATACGGCACTAGATTTGTGAGCGAAAGGGCACACATTCTTTGGACATTCTTCGTAGCAATCCCGATTTCTTTGAGCCATATCCAGATTGATTTATTGCGCTGATAAAAAATCAGCAGCTTTGCAAATGTTCACCTGGCAGAATTTTTATGTCACTTCAGCCACCTCCAGTTTGGACGGTGTCGGAATCTCAGCCTGTCAAAGATGCAGGTTCGCCAATGCTCCTGGCCTTGTTTGCACCTTCCCTTGTTTCAGGAGACTCAAATGTGGCAATCGTGACCGAAGTTACTCCAACGTCGGACATTTCAGCAGTTAACTCCCTGTAAGAGACGGAAGCAGAAGGGAGGGGAAGAATAGTCGTAGCTTTTAAATGCTTTGAATGCATCTCTGTATCAATCAATGCCAGACTTCTCAAAAAAAAGAACGAAAAGCATCGAACAACTGAGGACATCATAGACCTTCTGTTTGACAGATATGCAAAGTCATGCAAAGCCGTTTTTACTTCCCTAGGCTGAACTAGGGTGATGCTTTCAATCTTGTTGTGTGCGTGTGTCGTATTCTCTTCCAGTAATAGCTGCGTGATGGTGATTGGTTTCTGTGCCGCACCAGTGCGCGTTGCGCCATTGGCTTGAAATGGGACATGCTGGAATAAGGATTTGAAGACTGCGAGAGCCAAAAGAAAGCTGCTTTTCACAAGTCCGACAGTCCGACAGAACACGAAGTCGGACACAAATACCCTGTGCTGGTCGCATGGAAGACAGGTCGAGAATGCAGCTGAGCAGAACTTGATTGGTTGGGACGTCCGGGACACCTTCCAAACTTAAAGGGGGGGGCTGAAGGAACTGACCGATAAATACAGTCAAGAAGAACTGAACAATCAGCCCTGGTGTTTGAACCAGAAGCAGATCCGAAGCTGTTTGAAGTTGGGTCTCCAACGGAGAACTCCGCTGTTTCAGCTGAAGCTTCCAGACTTCCAGCTGAGTTGCCATTTTCGAGAACTCAGCAGGCATCACGCTGTATATTTATGGAGCATTGATTCCAAGCCAATCTCTTTCGCATTTTTGACCATTTTTGTAAGCATCAAACATCATCAATTCTGTTTGCCTTCATGGCTGCCGTGGAGCTCTACCAGCACCATGTGCGACCATCGTTGCGTGCGTCCCGACCATGCGCAGAACGAGGTCCTAGCAGACAAGGCGGTGAACTGTGTGTCACTGTCTGACATGTCACTGATCGGACCATGTGTGAAAAAGACACATTTTTTCAAGAGTGCTGTTTTCTTTGTCTTTGTTGGCATTATGAGCATGTTCTTCAGCCCATGTTACTCGTTGTTTCAGGACTTGCAAAACCAGTCTTGGCCACTGCTGCTGCCTTCTGGTCCAGGTGCCCCGAGAAATTGGGATCGATCATGTCAGATCAGCTGTTCTAGCAGTGTCTCAACATCTTCCTGTTTGACGATCCATGGATTCATGGCAATGTTCCAAGTTGAGAGCCGCAAGGGATTATGGGCCTGTGTCAGACCAAAAACAGCCTGGCAATCCCTGCTAGCGATCTTGCTCAACCTGCCAAATGGGTCGCTGTGGGATGTGAAACTCGACGAGACGCCGTGGACGCTTGCACCTTCCAGTCGTTTGGCTTTGAGGCTTCATGAACGTGCCACGGACAAAAGCCAATTCTGATGCTCACAAGAGTCAAGAGAAAAACTGGGAAGGGTCGTAGCTAGCAAGATGAACCAAGCAAGGGACCTCTCCTCATTGAACCCCCAGCAGATAACAGTGTTATCCTATGTTATCCTAGCCGCTACAGATCGCAGATGACATGCTGTGGTTGCACTGGTTGCAGCTGGCGGCGGTGCTCGCAGATCCGGAGCTACTCACAGACAAATGGAGCGGGTGTGGCGAGGTGACGTCCGATGACGAAATCCCCCTCTTCTTCTCGCCCTGTGCTACGTCCGAGTGGGAAGTGCTTCTCACCGACACTGTGGCCAATCATCACAAGCCAAGGTGGGGTCAGATCAATCTCATGGATAAGTCATGAATATAGATACAGTATATATATACAATTAAGTGGATTTTATAAACACATCCGACATGCATGACATGTTTGGCACGTGCATTCGTGAACTCAGGAATCGGACCTCAGGGTTTGACTCGTTGGCGAACAAAACGTACTCCATTCGTACTCCAGGAATGCAACAGCACTTCTTCGGCTTCCAGAAAGCAACAATCGACAAGGATGTGGCCCACATCCCAGCATGCACTTCGAGAACAGGATTGCGCTGATCGAGCGAGGAGCCGGGCATGGGTTCGGATCGCTTGTGTTCTCTGTCTGTTCTTCAGCACATGCAAAAGATTCCTTTTGAGACAAACTGATCCAGCTCATTTGATTGGAATCCAGTCGACTCGAAGCTGTAACTTTGTAGCATGGGAGACTCCAAACACAAAAGCTCTGCAATCTACAACACATCAGATTCTGAAGGCTAAAAAAACCGGGCAAGGTCACGTTGTCGTTGAGTTGTATTCAATCTATAAAGGTAGATCAGACAACTACAGTAGGAGATATGGAAACAATGTTTGGAGAGAAGAGGCAGACTTGAAAGCCAGCCAAAGCATCCCAAAGCACCCAGGAAAACACAAAATGATGCGAGCAGCATGGGAAAGTCAGATCAGCTTCTTTCAGATGGCTTTATCCAAGCCATAGCCAAAGAGAGATCAGGCAGATGAGGGAGAGAGAGAGAGAGAGAGAGAATGGTCAAGCTCGAAAGCACCGAGCCACGTGGCTCGATGCAGAGACAGACCACGCCACGGGAGATCCGTCGAAAAAGCCGAAAACGCCGGGCCGAGCCTCGAGCCTCGAGCCTGGCTGGAAAACACGACCAGCTTGGCCTGGTCCTCTCCTCTCCCTCCCTCTCCTCCCTCTCCTCCCTCTCCTCCTTCTCCTCCCTCTCCTCCCTCTCCTCCCTCTCCCTCCCTCTCCTCCCTCTCCTCCGTGGACCACACTGAGACCACTGGTGGAGAATATCGCCACCGTCACCTCTCTTCCTCATTGATTTGGTCGGACTAAGCCTTTGTCATTTTGTCTTCATTCGTGGTTTCATGGGTTATATTATGGTTATTTTCTAGGTTCCTGCCACATTTTGCCGCAGTTGCATACCAAATGAAGTGGACATTGTAGCGGTTGCAAAGACAGCCATGAAAAGAAGCAAACATGTTATGTTGTGAAACACAAATCAAGCGACATACATGTACGCATTGCCTCATTCTCTGGAGGAGGGTTACATGTTTCGTGTCTTTTTTCACAATGGATAGAGGGCAACATGTGCATTGGAATGCCTTGGGGCATTTCGTACCTTTTTCATACCTTTTCAACTAACATTCGGTTGAACTCGTTCTCCATTCTTCTCTTCAGTCGCCTTCAGTTTCTTTTCCTTGCAGGAAGCTGCTATTTTTCGTGGAAGGTCGTACTGGCCGAAGAGGCTGGAGCTTTGGCCGTGATCATTTTTGACACCGTGGACCCTCAGTCGACGGCTGTCCTTGCCATTGCTGGGCCCTTCCCAAATCCCAGGACCGGTCGATCGGTCGGTGGCGCTCGTGCCGAGTCGAGTGACGCGACGCAGCGTTACGCGCAGCTGGAGCTTTGGACGTAACTCGATGATCTGGTCGAGTCTGAAAGGAACACGACGAAACAAGTAAATCGGATCTGTTCCAATTTACAAACCTCTCCGACCAGGTACGACCCCAACGAACGGTAAAGCTGCCTACTGCCGGATGCCGGATGCGTCCGACGGTTTCCAGGATTGCGGCCTACTTGATTTCCAAGGAACAGGGCCTGGCCTTGGTCGGGCGTTTGGCGACTCTGGCAGCACTAGTGCCACCATGTCAGCCCAGTGCCACCAGTCATCAGTGATCATCGCCATGTATGGAAAACACCATGAAAATTCGGGCTGGAAAGGGTCAATGTGGGGGGCAAAGGCCTAGATTGCACTGTTCCAGTGCCTTCCTGGATTGTTTGCCTTCCTTGGTTTCATGCAATCCTAAAATTGAAGTGTCTCGAAGTCTTGCACTTCCTAAGGAACTCGGAGATGACATTGAGATCGTTTGCAGTTGGAGTCCGATAGAGGTCTGGTTTGGCCTGCCAAATACATCAGGAGAATTCAACGACACACTGAACTTGGAGAACTATGGAGATGAGGACTTCAGCATCAGAAAAAGCTTCGTAGATGGCTGCGAGATGCGGTGAGTAAGATTGAGTAAGTGCAATCAACTACATGCTAGTGTTCCTAGTAGTAAGTATGCTCCTGGTAGCGATGCCAGGAGCCCCAAATGTAGCGATGCCAGGAGCTCCTAGTAGTTGAACCTTCGCATCGCACGGGTCGTTTCTCAGGAGATGCGCTGGGTGTTGGATGTCATTGACCACAACAAGAGCTTCGAGACGGATCCGTTCTACACGGCCCAAGTGCTGTCATCGGTGACCTTCGACGCCTTCGAGACCTTCACCCAATTCTTTGACCTTTCTTCCTTCAATGGTTCGGACGCTTGAAATGAATCGAACGTGGAGGTTCCAAAGGTTGTCTTTTACAGGTTTGAAAGAGAAGAGTGAGGACGGATGAGGTCGAATGAGGTCGAATGAGGTTCAGGTTCTCTTTGTTTTTGGCTTGACCAGTCTTCCCTTCTATAGTTTCAATGACACTTCCAAGGTTCAGTCAGATGACGAAGCTCAACTTCTACCACTGCCATTTGTGTTCCCTCACTACCTGCATTTCTATGAGAAAGCCTATGTCTCCTGCAATGGTGCCCTTATTTTTGACCCTGTTTTGGATGAATTCACAAGACAGGCGGCAGTTCTTGGTTCTGGTGAAGGACCACATGCAGTGTTAGCAGCTTTGTGGGGAGACTTGCTTTGCCCTGAAGGCTCCAAAATTTCAGCTCGAAAAGCACAGGACGGTCTGACTGCAGCTGTGCGGTTTGAGGGACTTCGACACAAGAGTGATGTGAACCACACGGGGAATTTAACCTTTGAAGTTCGCTTACACAGTGATGGTCGAGTCCTTTTACTGCTGGAGGATTTTCCGAATCACACGGGTGCGCCTGCAGACCTGCAGGATGCACTGGCAGCACTTCAAGTCGGTTTGCAGCCCGCCACAGGTGCGCGTGCGTTGAGTGTGCAGGTGCCATGGTCAGCTGGAGCACCTTTGGCCATTTCATTCACTCCTTGGCTGATGCTGGAGAATCTGAGCTCTTCGGATTATTCCGTGGCTCCAAACCAATCCACCACAGTGAGCCTAGCTTTTGAACGTCAAGCTGACCTCTACGGCTGGGTGTTCTTTTACGCAGAGAGGAGCATCGGTACCTGGCACCCAAGGAGGAATGTCCGCTTCACTCAACGCATGTTTCGATATTATTGGGCCATTAGCGCTTGGGATGGTGGCATGCATAGTGGCAGCTGTGCCAGTGGCTTTGTGCGTCGACGGAATCGGACATGTGCTGGTAGCGATGGCGAAGTCTATGACGACAGCTTCTGCATTGGCAGTTGCATGGATAAAGACCCAGTTCTATACTGGGATTATCCGCAGAAGCGAGTCTGGAAAGATGGCTACAACAACCACTGTGAAGACTATCGCGTTTTGGACTTTTGCCGACCAGATGGGACTACTGGATCCAAGTGGCAGTCTTGGTGGGGTACCTTCAATGATTGGGTCACCAACGGTGAGGACGCTTCCTCTGCCTGCTGTCTTTGTGGTGGTGGGACATATGCTGTGGCCTTACCTCATGTCGAGGAGACTTGCCCTACAGTCAACTGCCCTGCGAACTCCGATGGGTCCAACGTGTTGGAAGGCCAGGCACCTGAGAGAACGTGACACATGCTGAGCTGTGCCGAGCTGTGCGGCGGAGCGGTGTTAATTGGTTCACAGCGGGGCCCGTGTTTGGGCTGCCTTCCCGAAATCAAGCAAGATCAAGGTACTGTACATTTGCATACATTTGCAAAATCATGCAAATAGATCATTGTATATGTATATGCGTGTATAATATACGACTGTTATGTTTTCGGATCACATGGGAGTGGATGTTATGGCATCACCTCCTTTTCTCGTTGGATTGTGACCGACCCCGAACAGGATGTCGCTGTCGAGCTGGATTTCAGGGTCAGATCAACCGCTCAGACGACTACCCCTACTTCGCAGGAGCCTGTTGGCCGGTCGCCTGTCCGGAGCATTCCACTGGCTATGTGCCCTACGGCTGCACCTGCGAGGATGGTTACATTGGCCACATCACGCCCAGTGACTTCGAACCGTTCTTTGTTGGCAGCTGTGAGGAAACCACCACGAGCACCACAAGCACTTGGACTTGGACCACATCCACCAGCAGTAGCGTTACGAGCAGTAT